TTCTCACATTTGTTTTTTTCAGATTTGATTACCTACAATGCCAAAATATCTCAAATGGTAATGAATTTCCCATTTCAAATATTTCTGTTAAGTATCATTAAATATTTTGTAAAATACATTTTAGGGGCCTAGGTGGGTTAAATTTACATTATTCATTCACCATGAAGAATAGTGAGTAATTATTATCTGTTTCTTGCCCAAAAGGAAAGCTAGTTCCCAGAAATGGAATCTTGCTTAAGTTGTGCTGTATATCACTTCCAACACAAGTTGCCCACCACACTTGGCAAAGTAATTTAGAAAATGAAATGTTATAAAATGTAATGTATAAGTAACATTTTCTCTAATGATTATTTAAAGATGCAGTTATAATCAGACATTATTTTGCTTTCTTCTTTTTATTCTCTTATAGCATTACAAAAAATGACTTTCTGCCTGATAGCTGATCTGCTTGCATCTTTCCCACTTGTTTTGAAAAAGTCTAAGAAAAACATATATATATATATAAATTTACCCAAAGTGGAAATATACATGGTTACTCTTTCTTAAGGCAAGCCTAATGGTTGAAATATTTCATTTCTCAGAAACTTTGTGTAAATATTTTCTGAGTGAGCAATGAAGCCAGTAATAAAATATTAATAAATGGATATATTATACTTGTTCAAAATCCATTAACTTTTTAAAAGCTGTATAGGATCATATAAACATTTCAAACTTGTTCTAACAAGTAAATAGTCAAATGAAACCTGTTTCAATATCCAAAAAGTTCCATTAATTTTTATTCTCTTCCTCCTTTTTTAATATAGCATGCACAAAAGGGAGAAAGAATTTTAGGAGGAAAAATTATGCTCCTACCTTTTTATGTATGAAATTTATTTTTATAAAGGTATTCACATGGGTGACCCAGAATTTAAGCTGCTATCCTTCCCTAGAAAAGACAAAGGCAAACTAAGAGAACCACTCGATTTTGCCTTCCATTGTCAGGTAACCTCTGCATTTCAGTAAGGATAATGTTGACATACATAACTCCTGTCTTTCAATGAATTACTTGAATTTCAGACTCCTGGAAGTATTGACTATAAACAAAATATATTAATTTAAAGTCAAACAAATAAGAGTTCAACAGCAAGTTCTTCCATCCTTATCTGCCTCATAGGATGGGAACCAGAATAGCATCTGCCCTATAGGCCATTATGATGCATTCTTATAAAATAATATAGCACAGGGTTTGCCACATAGGACATGTTTAATCAATATTTATTATTACTTCATTACATGAGGAACTATAACTTTAAAATAAAATGATAAAAGCTATCTTCACTGAACACTTACTTCAGGCATTGGATAAGTAGCTTACATGTGTTACATAATTTAATTCAACAATATTACTAATCCATTTTACAAATGCCATGATTGGCAGGAAGCAGTCCCTGATTCAAAGTATTGCAAGGATACTCTATTTTTTAACAACTCCTGGTTTAAAGAGGAGATTCACATAAAAGGGCATGTCCTATGCCTTCTATCTACATTGAAAATAATATTTTGTGGATATCTCTCTCTGTAATGGTAGACGTTACCATATTAGATTTTTTTTCTGAAATACTCTCTTGAATTAAGATACTACTAGATTGAGCTACAGAAATCAATAAATTAATTATATTTTTAAAGGCTCTTTTATGTATGTTTATTTTAACAGTTCTGGTGTTTGGCATTTTTGTTCTACTTCTGACTAATATGCATCATCGATTTGATTTACTTCTGTAGTGTGACTTTGTAAATAAATGTGGGATTTATTTATTTTAATATTATTATTTTGTAATAAGAAAAATGAAATCTTTAAATATCCAAAACCAAATATAAATATTTAGGAAAATAAAAGTGTAAAACCTGTGTATACAAATTAAATATATATAAAATTCAACAAATGCTGAAGTTTAAAATATAATTTTAATATAAACCCGATATCATATAATGTACATATGGGTATGTGATAATGTGCACAGCAAAGGACTAATGATGTGGTTAGACTGCATCCCACCCAAATCTCATCTAGAATTCCCATGTGTTGTGAGAGGGACCCAGTGAGAGGAAATTGAATGATGGGGGCAGATCTTTCCAATATTGTTCTCATTATACTGAAAGTCTCATGACATCTGATGGTTTCATAAGGGTGAGTTCCCCTGCACAAGCTTTCTTCTCTTGTTTGCCACCATGTGAGGCAAGCCTCTCACCTTCCACATGATTGTGAGACCTCTCCAACCATGTGGAATTGTAAGTCCATTAACCTCTTTCTTTTGTAAATTGCCCAGTCTCCAGTCTCTATCAGCAGTGTGAAAATGGATTAATACAGTAAATTGGTACCAGTAGAGTGGAGTAGTGCTGAAAAGATACCTGAAAATGTGGAAGCAACTTTGGAACTGGGTAACAGGCAGAGGTTGAAACAGTTTAGAGGGCTAAGAATAAGACAGGAAAATGTGGGAAAGTTTGGAACTCCCTAGAGACTTGTTGAATTTGACCAAGATGCTGATAATGATATGGACAATGAAATTCAGGCTAAGGTGGTCTCAAATGGAGATGAGGAACTAGTTGGGAACTGCAGCAAAGGTGATTCTTGTTATGTTTTAGCAGAGACTGGTGGCCATTTGCCCCTGCCCTAGAGATTTGTGGAACTTTGAACTTGAGAGAGATGATTTGAAATATCTGGTGGAATAAATTTTTTAAGCAGCAAAGCATTCAAGATGTGACTTGCGTGCTTTTAAAGGTATTCAGATTTAAAAAGGAAACAAAGCATAAAAGTTTGGAAATTTTACAGCCTGAAAATATGATAGAACAGATAATTCCATTTTCTGAGGAGAAATTCAAGCTGGAAGCAGAAATTTACATAAGTTACAAGGAACCAAATGTTAGTCATCAAGACAATGGGGAAAATGTCCCCAGGGCATGTCAGAGACCTTTGTGGCAGTCCTTCCCATTACAGGTGAGAGGATTAGGAGGAAAAACTGTTTTCTTGAGCCTGGCCCAGGGTCTCTCTGCTGTGTACAATCTAGGAACTTGATGCCCTGCATCCCAGATGCTCCAGCCATGACTAAAGGCGGCCAAGGGACAGCTCATGTTGTTGCTTCAGAGGGTGGGAGCCCCAAGCCTTGGCAGCTTCCATGTGGTGTTGAGCTTCCAGGTTCACTGAAGTTAATAATTGAGGTTTGGGAAACTCCACCTAGATTTCAGAGGATGTATGGAAATGCCTGGATCCCTAGGCAAAAGTTTGCTGCAGGGGTGAGGCCCTCATGAAGAACTTCTGCTAAGGCACTGAAGAAAAATGTGGGATCAGAGCCCCACACAGAGTCCCTACTGGAGCACCACCCAGTGGATCTGTGAGAAGAGGGCCACCATCCTCCAGTCTCCAGAATGGTAGATTCACCAACAGCTGGCAACATGCACCCGGAAAAGCCACAGATACTGAATGCCAGCACATGAAAGCAGCCAAGAGAGGGCCTATACTCTGCAAAGCCACAGGGGCAAAGCTGCCCAAGGCTGTGGGAGCCCACCTCTGGCATCAACTTGACCTGGATATGAGACATGGAATCAAAAGAGATCATTCTGGAGCTTTAAGTTTTGACTACCTTGCTGGATTTCAGACATGCATGGGGCCTGTAGCCCTGCTATGCTTGGTTTTAGTCAATTTCTCTCATCTGGAATGACTGTATTTACCCAATGCCTGTACCCCCAATGCCTGTACCCTGTACTGTATCTAGGAAGTAACTAACTTACTTTTAATTTTACAGGGTCATAGGCAGAAGGCACTTGCCTTGTCTCAGATGAGACTTTGGATTGTGAACTTTTGAGTTAATGCTGAAATGAGTTAAGACTTTAGGGGACTGTTGGGAAGGCATGATTGGTTTTGAAATGTGAGGACATGAGATTTGGGAGGGGCTAGGGGCAGAATGACATGATTTGGCTGTGTCCCAACCCAAATCTCATCGTGAATTCCCACATGTTGTGAGAGGGACCTGGGGGGAGGTAATTGAATCATGAGGGCAGGTCTTTTCCATGCTATTCTCATGATAATGAATAAGTCTCCTGAGACCTGATAGTTTTATAAGGGGGAGCTTCCCTGCCTGAGCTCTTTTCTTATCTTCCACTATTTGAGGTGTGTCTTTCACTTCACAAGTTATTGTGAGGCCTCCCCAGCTATGTGGAACTATAATTCCATTAAACCTCTTTCTTTTTGTAAATTGTCCAGTCTCAGGTATATCTTTATCACCAGCATGAAAATGGACTAATTAATATGCAGAATTTATAAGGAAGTTAAATCAATAAGAAGAAAACAAATAACCCCATTAAAAAAGTAGGCAAAGGACATGAACAGCTATTTCTCAAAAGAAGATATACATGTACCCTCTGAATCTGAGATTTTCAAAAATAACAATTTACACAGATAATCCTCTACCTGCTTAGTTTGTTAACAGAGCTATTAAACGTTGACCGGATCTCCAAAAAGCAAAGCTTGATATATCTAAGTTATTTAATATCTCTCAGCCTCAATTTCCTAATCTATAGAGATAATAACAAGACCTTCTTCAAAGGTAAATTTACAGTGAAATAATGAAGCCTACGTTCAGGGGTCTGACAGTGTGTTTACATGATCTGTTGTTTCTGCAAAATTTTCAAAATCATGTACTCTTTCAAATAAAGATGGCTTCCCCACAATTCCATAACTTCATACCTTGCCAAATTAGATTCTTCTCTTGTTCACCTCAGTGATTATATTGATGATTAAATTGGATAGTACATGTAAAGTTTTAGGACTATGCCTGTAACATAGAAAACGCTATTAGTGTTCACTGTCATTATTATTATCAAATATCTTAGTTTATATTTATCCTCCTTGCTAAATCCAATTGAATATATCTTAAATAGTATGAGTTATGGGTGTTTAAGGAAAAGCTTAGTATACTAATAAAGTTTTCTCAAATCTGGAAAAAGAAATAGTATAAAATATATCAATTTAAATATTAGATTTATTGATACATGCTTTTAAAACTAGGAGCTTTTAAAATGTAATCAAGACACTTGCATTTTGCTTAAAAGAGAAGACATTTATTCAGAGAAAACTGTGGTATCATCCAGGAAAAGCAGGAAAAAACTGCCTAAGTGAGATCCCACATATTTGTCGGTTGGTTGTTGCAAAAGAAGATGACTAAATGGTTGAACTCACCAGAATAACACAAATCTTATCACATCTATACAAAATCATCCAAATAGTCAAGGATTTAGCAATGTATACAAAGATAGTCATGCAAACTTCTGAGTCGTAGTTTTGCAATTTGGGACATATGATACCTATTTTACAGTCATAATATAAATTATATTCATATGATGCCTATTTCACAGTCATAATGTAAATTATATTCATATACCTATTTTATAATTCATATTAATTTCATTATATCAGTTAATCACATACTTATGTTACAGATATGAATTGATTAATCATAGAACTAATCACAATAAGTATTGATGTGATAAAGCTCCACCCTTGAATTTTTTATTATTTTTTTCAAATGAAGGAGGTATGTGTGTGTGTGTTTGTGTGTGTGTGTGTGTGTGTGTGTGTGTGTGTATGCAATAGTTGTAAATGAAATTCACCAGGACAATCTGACTTGTATTTCAAATAATAGGAATTTGACTATTACCCTCACTGAATCATTGAGTCAATATAAAAATTTATTTCATGCTTTGAGATAAAACAAATCTAAGAGAAATATGCTAGAATTGGCTTTAGCAACAGCCTAAATACTGAAGCAATGTTGAATTATACATACTTCAATGGTTTAGGGATCATTTTTAATGGGAAATATATAAAACATACACGTGTGTACATATGTATGTGTGCATAAATACATGTATATACATATAATATGTATTATATGTAATATTTTGAAGTCTTTTCCCACACTCCAATAATTAGGAAATTAAAAGAGAAAAAAATAAAGTTTAGTGTAGAGCAAAAATATCTTGCATTTTCTCAGTCAATCATGAAATTTTCTAATAAATTAGCTAAGCAACAGCAAGAATAGGATAATTATTTTGTTCTGATCTGCTGAATAGTAATTTTAACCGTAAGTTCTCTCCATATAGTGAGTTGAATGGCCAAAATCACAGTGCCATTTCCTGCTTCATGCAGTGCTCATTTACTAAAACAGAATTGGTCACCATGTTCTTAGCATTGCTTTTCAGAGATGTCATACGCATGGCTGAAGAGCTGAGTAGGTAGCTGGTTGCTCTTTCTTGATAGGACTTCGTCCCACAGCAGAGTTGGCTGTTGAAATGCCTCCTGAAGCTTTCACTGAGTAGGTAAAGAGCAAATGGGTTGACACAAGAATTGCAAAAACTCAGAACCCGGGCAACTAAGGTGACAATCATGTGGCCTAGAGATGGATCAATCTCATTATAGTTGAAAGACCGATACATGTAAAGGATGTGGTTTGGAAACCAACAGAAGATGAAGCAGCCCACAAACACAAGCACAATTTTAGCCAGGCGTCTCCGTGTTTCCATCTGCAAATATAAGACATTGATCCCATTGGTTAAAGTGAAAATGGAACCAGCCACATCCCAGCTTTATCAAGTCAGGAAAGAGCAAAATTTACAGCATGATAATACATCAAAATACATAAATTATTTATCTTCCTAGCCAAAGTAATGATGGATTTTGGTCTCTACATTATTTTCATTAAAAGCTATTTGACAGCTTATACAAAACTAGGGGGTAAATTAATAAATGGCTATGTCTTCACATTATTTTCTTTTTGCTTAATGTGTCATTGTGTTTAGCATAAATATAAATCATCTTTTTATATTAAATCCAGTAAATTAATAAATCATGGAATATATTCAAGTTTAGGTATTTTTTTAAAAAAAAATAAGAGTGTTTTAAACAGGAAACATTTATCTATAGAATCAGGGCTTGACTTTTTAAAATTACTACTCCATAGGAAAAAAAAAATATGTGAGATTTAAACTCATGACTTACATAAATCTGATATAACTCTGAGTCCTGTAAACATTACCATATTGTCACTTTTACAAATAAAAATCCATGTTTCTTTTCCATAAAATTTACATACTATGTTTACTGTTTTTAAGAAGATATTCAGGAATGTAATAAATAGACAAAATTCAAATATTGCACATCAATATTTTTTTAATCTAAAAACAATTTCCTAACATAAACAGTTCAAGGGATAGCTTATATTTGCCTAGTTTGTAAATATTCAAATAAGGCAACATGAATATGAAAACCTAATTTATCTAAAGACATTGGCAGTAGTTATCATAGTATTTTCTGAGTGAATACTATTGGTCGTCAACTAGAATATTCCAAGGAAGACTGGAAAGGTTTGAGATTGGAACAGATCCGACGGTAGGGAGCACTAGAGTGGTGATAGAGGAAGCAAAGAAAGGTGCAACTAAAGAGAAGCCCAGGCCAGGAAGCAGAATGTGATATTATTCCACATGGATCCCAGTGGCATAAGTTAGGCAACCCAGCAATCAATGCTAAGAAAGTCGAATGTGAAATTTATCTTTCTAAGCAATGTCATCCCTTCCAGGTGGAGCAGGAGTGCGAGAATTTCACAGCAATCTATATTTGGGAGTTCCAAGTGCACAGGCAGGCTGTTGGCATTGAGATTATTTCTCAGCAGATGTCAAGACCCAGTTGCCCTGTAGAGTTTATAGGTCCCAATAGGGAAATTCACAAAAACAAGGCAGAGGCAAGGCCATTAAAAATTTAAAAAGTGAAGCAAGGGCTGTATATAGGAGAAGAACTCAACTTTAGAAACCAAAAGCAAATACTCAAATACCTAATTGAGATACAAATTGGATCACAGGGCTCAAATAAAAATGATTATATAAAATACAAAGCACAGTGAGCCAATGATCTTAACACATTGCCTGCCTCACCAATGCCAGATATTTAGATAAAGTCTATGAATTTATCTAACAATGCCTTCAATAATCGAGTGATTTTTTTAAGTCTTTAAAGCCGGTATAGGTCTTTGATGCTGATGGCCACCAATTAATAAATGTTACCTTCCATGTGAAAACCCTTTACTAGTTTCTGCTGTTGCTAACATGCACAAGGCCCCAGCTTAATTCTCCATTTACATTCCAGTAAATTTTAATGATTTGCAATTCTATTTCTTTGCCTTTAATTGGGAACAGGCAACGGTAACTACTCTATACCTGCAAAACCCGTCAGTAGTTCTTTTTTAACTGTACACAAGTGTACAGCCAGAAACTTTCTCACATGAACACTATTTTTGTCTCCTTGGCTATTAACACAGTTAATTTTTACCTTAAATTAGTCCTGCATATTCTTGAAGGAAGAGAAAATACATAAGGTGCATGATGCAATTTTTTTTTAAGACGGAGTTTCGCTCTTGCCCAGATGACACAATCTTTTCTCACCACAACCTCCGCCTCCCAGGCTCAAGCTATACTCCTGCCTTAGCCTCCCAAGTAGCTGGGATTACAGGCATGCATCATCAGGCCTAGCTAATTTTGTATTTTTAGTAGAGACAGGATTTCTCTATGTTGGTCAGTCTGGTCTCGAACTCCCAACCTCAGGTGAACCACCCGCCTTGGCCTCCCAAAGTGCTGGGATTACAGGCGTAGGCCACCACGCCCGGACCACATGATATAATTTTTTAATGAATATATCATCTTTGTAGGGAAAGTTACAAATGTGAGTTGGGTCATGTATTGCTTCAGCACCAGCCCACCTTTGGATCACACCTTTGAGTTCCCTTTCTGCTGTTCTTGCTATTCCCCTCATCTCCCATTCTGACTTCCATCCAAATTCCATCCCCAGATTCCAGGCAGTGTCCTACAGTCCTTTCCTAATGCATTCTTCTAGGCCACCTGCCATCCTTAGTGGGTTAATGAGAGAAGAGACAATAATTAAATAAATATATGTTTATATGTAAATATGTGAAATTTTTCTGGTTTGTTACGCTGTTTATTACAAAAAATCTGCATGTAAAGAAAGGCTTTTCAATACATTAATTTCTAATGGTGGAATTCCAGATCTTATCTCAGATACAGACTACTGATAAGTTTAACCTAAGTAAGCCTTTGCAGGGCTGTGATATGATCATATATTAGAGATCCCCACTGTGGGGATCTCTTCTAGTTAAGGCTGGTGAAGACCCAGCTCTGTTCTCATCAGTCATAGCACTGAGAGCCATGAAGTAAAACAATAAATAGCAGTTACTTGTTCTGACTAGCACAATACCAATCCACACCTACTAATCTTACCTGTTTTTTGGTATGTTCATTGTATTCTCCAGGAAGATTGTGTGCGCTTTTAATTAAGGTCTTTGCAATATGATAATAATAAATGCTAATAATAGCAAGTGGTATGAGGAAATAGACCAAGAAAATGAGCACTGAATGAATCTTTGGATGTAATTCATCTGTTTGAGGGTAGGGGATACATGCTGTGAAGCTGCTATTATCCAAGCCACTGATGCGTGCCACTTCTGAAAACACTGCTTCAGGAACTGCCAGCAACACAGAGACCACCCAGATAACCATGGCTTTCACACAGGTCCACAGCACTGCCCCTGATGTCTGCATGTCCATGGGGTTTACGATGGCTCTGTACCTGGGAAAATAATACATCTCAAGTTATTCCAGAAAGAGAAAGAAAGAAAGAAAGGAAAGAAAGCAAGAAGAAAGAAAGAAAGAAGGAAAGAAAGAGAGAGAGAGAGGGAGGGAGGGAGGGAGGGAGGAAGGAAGGAAGGAAGGAAGGAAAAAGAGAAAGAAAAAGAAAAGAAGGGAAGAGAGAAAGAAAGAAGGAAAGAGAGAAAGAAAGAGAAAGAAAGGAGGGAGGGAGGAGGGGGGAGGGAAAGAGAAAGACATACTTCTTGGTAAGAGAGATGCCAATATACTATTATTCCCTGGCTGCTTAAAAGTGTATGGAAGATCAAGGTTCCTGGTGGCTCTCTGTCTACAAGTCATTCCACTGCTTATAAGCACAGAAGAGAGGAAGAAAGAGAAAAATATTTTAAATTCCTACCTTAGTTATTTTATTTCATTTCCAAAAATCCTGGACATTCGTTTACTTCTTAAATTCTTATAAATCTATACATGTTACATCTATTATTAAATTCTTCCTTGATGCTTTTCTATAGCTTCAGAGCATGAGACCTCTCACTCTTTTTCTAAGGACATTAATAAATTTTAGAAACTAATCTAGATTGGTCATACTAGATTTTGATAAAAAAAAAAATAAATAAGAGACTCATCTAGATTGGGAATTTCTCCATAATCCAGTAATAAGGACTGAAAAAACTGAAAGCAGAACAATATTCTGTCTTTATGCCTCAAATTTATTTCATATCAAGAAAAGATAAAGTTCTTTTCTCCTCCCTCTTAAGATACTACTGGCAATATACTAGCAATATACTAGTGATAAAGGAATCACACTCTAGGACACAGTAAACAATCCAAAACTTTCTACAGCTAACTCAAACATACATATTAAGTAAGGTAATGATGATGCAAAAATGCAAAATGGTACATAAACCTCGAATTTTTTATATTTGTCTTTAAAAGCATTTCAGGTTACAATACACCCAGCAAATAAGATGAAGTACAGCATGATTTTAGTTAGACAAATCTGAATTATTTCCCTATCTCTGATATTTTTTGGAAAATCACTTAAGGTCTGACTTTTTCTTTAGTTGTAAGAGGGGGATAAAAATACCCTTCTCAAAGTTGTTGTCATGAGAAAAATATTATAAAGTACCTACAATAGTGCCTGGCAATTAGCAGATCCTAACTATGCCAAGACATCATACCTTCTTCTTATTAACATTTGAATTAATCTGATGTTCCAAATTTATAACATTTCAGGCCTCATGACAACCAGTCTCTTTCTGTGTTTCTGTAAAAGTGCTTCCCATTCATCACCTGAAGATGAAAAACTTCAGCCTCAGCATCACTCTGAGGGCAGCCCCTCTCTCTCTGTCTCTCTCTCTCTCTCTCTCTCTCTCTCTCTCTCTCTCTCTCTCTCTGCAGGTGTTATTTACAGACCCTCCATAGAGGAAGGGCAATTCATCTTTTGTTCTTCGAACTTCAAACAAACAAACAAAACACATGTAAATGAAAGAAGTGCAACAGCAGAGCATCTCAACACCAGATTAAATAAGGTACTATGCATAATGCAACCTCCATCTTCTAGACTCAAGCAATCCTCCCACCTTAGCCTCTCAAGGAGCTAGGACTACGGCATGTGCCACCAAGCCTAGCTAATTTTTGTATTTTTGTAGAGATGAGGTTTTGCCATGCTGCTCAGGCTGGCCTCAAACTCCTCCTGGGCTCAAGCAATCTGCCTACCTCAGCCTCCCAAAGTGCTGGGACTATAGGTATTTGTCACTGCAGCCAGCCCTTGCCATGTATTTATAAAACTAACACAGAAATAAACATTTAATATCCTTCTGGCATAGTTCCAGTTTTGTTTGTTTGGTCTCATTGTGCTGTAATCTCTTCCCAAAAATTTGGATAACTATAGATTGACAATTCATATTTAAAAGTGAAGTACCAAAAAGCTGATTGTAAATTATTTTTTATGTGGAAGATGATGAGGAAAGGGTACAGAGGGGATCACTACAAAAAGATTAAGCCTTCTTTTTGGTTATCAAATACCACAAAGTGTATTCTCAACTTTCCTCCATGTGTTTAAAATGGAGAAGAAAATACTTCACTTCTCTACCTCATATCTAAGTCCCTATATTTTTGTAGAGGTACTGTCTTAGTTTACTTGGGCTGCTATAATAAAGTACCATATACTGGGCAGCTTATAAACAATAGAAATTTGTGTGTCACAATTCTGAAGACTGGGAAATCTAAGATTAAAGGATTGAGAGATTCAGTGTTTGATGAGCTCCCCCCCCCCATTTTTTATACATAGATGGAATCTTCCTGCTATTTATTTGAATGGTGGGAAGGTCAAGGGTCTCTTTGGAGTCTTTTATAAGGGTATGAATCTCATTTGTGTGGGCACCACTCTCATGACCTAATCACCACCCAAAGGCCCACCTCTTAATACCATTACTTGGGGATTAGGATTTCAACATATGAATTTTGGGCAACATAAACATTCAGACCATAGCAGGCGTTATAACCATGAAGGATGTAGAGAAACTTTAAATAGAAATTAAAATAATAAATCTCTCATTTTGATAAGATTACTAGAAACAGATACAGAAATCTTGGTTTAGGGAAAGGAAGAAACCTAGCAGAAATGTGGGCCTTTCCAACAAGGATTATGAGCTACCTCCTGCAAGAAAAGGATAGACCCCAAGGATAGTCTTTAAATAACATACACTTGAATGAAAGGGAAGAATTGAAAATTCTACAAAAACAGAATTGTCATTGAAAATACAGATTACCAAAGTGTTATTAGTACTGAGAAATAGCTTATGATTGTCAAAGAAAATGCTGTATACCAACCATGTGTATCTTTGAAAGCATAAAAAGCAAAAAATAAAGTAAGATAGGTAGTGCAAATTAACATGAACATGACTCGCATTTTGTGAACGTATGGGGCATTTTATATTTTATATTTTCCATCTTTTCTTTTCCCTGCCCCTGGTTTCCTCCCTTTTTAGTCCTGTGGTGTTTTGTTTGTATCTTTTTTGAAAAAAAAGCTGCCTTAAATTCTCCTGTCACAAGTTTGATATGGTTTGGCTCTGTATCACCATCCAAACCTCATGTAGAATTGTAATCCCCAGTGTTGAGGGAGGGACCTGATGGGAGGTAACTGGATCATGGGGGCAAATTTCCCCTTCCTGTTCTTATGGTAGTGAGTGTGTTCTCATGCAATCTGGTTGTTTAAAAGTGTGTAGCACTTCACCCTTAGCTCTCTCTCTTCTGCCACCATGTGAAGACGTGCTTGCTTCTTCTTCACCCTTCTGCCATGATTGTGAGTCTCCTGAGGCTTCCCCAGCCATGCCTCCTGTACAGCCTGTGGAACTGTGAGTCAATTAAATCTCTTTTCTTTATAAGTTACCCAATTTCAAGTAGCTTTGTATAGCAGTTTAAATAACACAAAGTTGAACAAAAATAAGTTGAACATAAATAAGTAATCACTCTAGTACCATAGGGTGAATGTGGACTATTCTTCAAAAGAGTTAGAAGCACACTCTTGGTGCTAGTCTCAGAACCAATTAAGAGACTGACAGGCAAGGGCTATGGAGCAAAGAAGAAAGCTTCATCTCCAGTCAGGGGCAGCTAGTTAACCTGAATCTGATCTTCCGTCAAAAGTTTTGATAAGAAAGGAGCAAACGGTTAACAGGACTCACTTCCACCACTGGATGAAGACTGATAGAAAAGTCCTATGAAGCCTAGAGAGTGTTAGACCCAGGGCCTTTATACAATCTATTTCAATATCTTAACAAATAATTACACTCAATAGAACATCTGTTTGCATTGATATGATATACAAGTAATATTAATGAGTCAAAACTTTGTCTACTGTCCCAGTTGTGGAATGAAATCTTATTATCCTAACCAGCACACAAAAACTTGGATTTTTTAATTAATAATTATTAATACATTAGAAATTTAATCAGATTTGGCACAATATTATTTTTTAATTTAATCAAACATTGGCTATTTAGGATCGGAAAAAAAATCACCCAATACATTAAACTAATATTAGTTTAATAGTTTTTATAGTTTTAATTTTTAAATTTAAATGCGTTTTGATTAATAGTTATATAAGAGACCAGAAAAAGAATGGACATCTAATTTTTTTATTTGTAAATACATGACATTATAAAGTTTACAGTTTAGCACTGGGAATCTGTGAGAATTTTTCCCATGAAGGAGACAGGAAAACTCCATTCCTGAGTTATTTGCATTTTAACAATGTGCCATCAGAGACCAAAAGGTCTTCAAGAATCAAAGAAAAACATTCCAAATTTGCAAATGCAGCTACTCATAGATAGAGAAAGAGATAACTGTAACACCAACCATAAGCAAAATATGGCTTATGGGTCACCATCCAACCTGATGCGCACAAGTCCCAATACTCCACATGGGGAGGTGGGAGTGAGTGTGTGTGTGTGTGTGTGTGTGTGTGTACATGTGTATGAATAAAGCTGTTAGAAACATAATACAACATAGAATATAGACATTTTTAATCAGCTACTTTATATAAGCAAGTAAACAATGTACGTTTTCAAAATAGTAAGAAAAACATCTATCAAGATAACAGTAAAAAAAATAACAATAATAAATTAAGAGCACCACTATCACCACTTCATGCCATACACAAATGCTGTTGCCTGGGGATATGTTTGTTGAAACTCCTCAGAAGAGTTTGGAAAGCTGAGGACTAATAATCACAGACACCAACTCGGCGTGATGGCTCACACCTGTAATCCCAACACTTTAGGGGGCCAAGGCGGACAATCACTTGAAATTAGCAGTTTGAGGCCAGCCTGGCCAACATGGTGAAGCCCCATCTCTACTAAAAATACAAAAATTAGCCAGCCATGGTGGCATGCACCTGCAGTCTCAGCTACCCAAGAGGCTGAGGCAGGAGAGTTGCTTGAACCTGGGAGGCTGAGGTTATAGTGAGACAAGATCTTGCCACTGCACTCCAGCCTGGGCAACAGAGCAAGACCCTGTCTCAAAAAAATAAAATATAATAATAATCCCAGATACCGGTGTCATGTGACCACACTTTGGCCATATCAAACAAATTGATTTAGGCCTCAAGGAGGATTCAAAATATTTGTGTTTTTCATTTTAGCGTCTGCAATCTAATGATGCTGACATTATTGAAGTATAGAATATGAGTCTCTACTTCACATTGGAATACACTTTCTGAAATCTAATTATATTCCTGGTTTTTTTTTCTATGTACTGTGATCTCTATTTCTTAACTCTCTACTGTTATTTTATTAGGCAAAGACACTTAGGCCATCTATGAAGATAGGATATATGATACAAATAATTGAATTTGTTGTTTAAAGACTCTAATAACAGAGTTTTTGTTATTTGTTGTAGTTTTTATTGCTGCAACTACTACTTAATTTTTAATTCAAGGTGCTTCTTTTATTTTGCAGTTACACTTTATGATGTTCTTTCACTGTAATAAATCTAGTGAACCAGCTTCTGTACAATCTTTTTATGCTTGGGTGCTTTGTTTTAAATTCAACTTTTAAGTCTGCTGGTAAATAGAAAATAATTTGTTAGTAATTTCTTATACTCATAATTGTAATAATGTGGATTAATGGTGAAGAGTTCAGGCTTTAAATGGTGTTCAAACACGTTGGCACCATCAGTGGCTAGCTGTGAGATCATGAAAATGTTCCTGAATTTCTAATCTCAGTTTTCTTAGCTTTAAAGTTTTTAATTTAAAAATAATAGTGCCTATTTCACAGCATTGTGAAGATTGAAAATTCACACAAAAAAGTTAGCTCTTGCTAGGTGCAATTAATCTTACAATTGATTCCACATTCACAAGAAATCACAGCATTGGGTGAGATGTAGTAAGAGGTCATCAAGTACTAATCAACTATTGATTGCTGTGCTCTAGAAGAAAAATAGAAGTGTTGGCAATATATAACAAACCATTTCCAATCCATTTTAAGTGAATCATGGAATATATTGCATAATTTCATTACTAGTTACTCAGGTTTCCTAGCTTATGTTTCCTACACACCGGTAGACAAGGGTAGCCTATGGACCAAGTAGAAGAGGTATCTCACCTTTCCTTATCATTACTATTATTCATTCTGTATTCACAGAGTACATGATGCACAAATGAAACAGAAAAAGTAAATATATGAGGATTGTTATTTTATCTGATCTTAGGACAAATTTACCTGTGTAAATCATTATGTGTCACCATGACAATAGATTGTAAAAACTGGTGTGAAATAATTGCTACCAATGCCACCTCTTTAAAATGAAAGCATAATGATAGTAATTTAAACTACTGTTGTTGCTGATCATTAAGATTTATTCTAATCATTAAGTAGGTTTTTTAAACTTTCTAGATAAAATAACATTGTATAAAGAGGGGTAGCTAAACTAGTCATATTTTTGTTTTGGAATTCAGAAAAATATTTTAAAAGATAATAGAAATGCTGACAAATAAAATTAGGTACATAATTTATACAAATGGCACCAAATTTTCCAGGAGTGTGGTTTTAAAGAATATATTACAGGAACTAAAAAGTGAATCATTTTCAGTTTCTCAAGTCCCTGTCAAATGATGTGTTTCCCTCAATGAAGATTAACTCTTCAATGCCAAAGTAGTATTCTAGTATTACTGCAAATACCAGGAAATCCATATAGAGAATCATTTTTCATTAGCAACTGAATGTGTAAATGAAAGAGGAGAGTGAATACCACCTTAATTAGCCAAGTTAAATTGTTTATCTAAATAGCTTAAGTCAGTCTCCATTCCCATGTGAATTAGACCACAGCTGCATGTAAAGATGCCTAATTTTGCATTTTCCCACCTGTATCCAAACATTCTCCTCTGCTTAAATGGACCATGAGTCAGGAGACTTGGACTTTCCTCCCTGGTTTTCCGTTAGAAATCACATTCCCTGGGCCTCAATATGCCCATCTGAAAAAATGACAAAGTTGAACTAGTTGATCTGCAAATTAGAATAATGGACTATTCACACCCTAACATATATGAAAAGAGATTTGATGTATTTTGGGTACCTATCTGTGAAAAAAAGTATCTTAGCTTCAGTTATTAAACAAGAGGAATGTGAAAAGTCATCTGCATAAAGAACATTTATTATTTTAATTGGTTTACTAGCAAAATTCAGTTAATAAAGTAAGTAAGCCCTTCTCTTACTTGAAAAAATCAAAATTTAATATTTGCCTAATATTAAGCAGACATTCTTACCTATCCAATTCTTATTTTACTGCATAAAATACACTTTTAAGATTTTAAGCACACACAAAAAAAACTTCAATAGGATACTTGCTCTTTTGCACCCTTATTCTATAGCTTTTCTATGGAATAACATTCCCTAAGTGTCGGGGGTAGGACTAGGAGATGCATTTTTAAATGCAATTTTATTTGTTTCTTAAAACATAGTGATTTTCCTATATTTTTCCAAGCCTCACATCTCAGTCCGTTTTAACTCTGTTTACTCTTCTTCCCAGGTACACACTCTCTCCCTCTCTTCCTCTCCACCCTCAACCTTTCCTTGTGTCTTTTGCCAGTAGGTGCACTTCGGGCGCATCTTCTCTCCCCGCCCCTCTCCACGGCTTTTCCACGCTACCCACAGCTACCTGTGCTCTTACCTGTCGGCACTGAGGGCAGTAAGAGTGAACACAGAAACCCCAACAGAAGTGAGCTGGATGACCGGGATCAGTTTGCAGCCCACCTTGCCAAACATCCACTCATCGAAGAAATAGCGCGAGGCGTCCACCAGGACGCAGGTGAGCAGCAGCAGCAAGTCCCCAGCCGCCAGGTTAGAGATGAAGATGTTGGGGACGCTCCTCATGGCGCTGTTGGTGATGAAGATCTTCACCAGTATGATATTGCCCAGCAAGCCCACGGTAATGATGAGCAGGTAGAGGGACGGAATCACACAGCGAATCACCAACTCCGCGGTGGTCCCGTCCGAGGCTGGCAGGAAATCCCTTTCCCACCCCTCGTGAACAGAACCGCTCTCATTCGCGCCTGTGGTCACCGAGAGGTTGGAAAGAGACTTGGGGGGCATGATCTCCTTTCCAGCAGAGTCCGCTGGAGTTTTCAGGCGCTCCGGTGCCCTGAGGACTGAACGCGCACGATTTGGGTTTAATCGATGTCACTCCCTCTCGCCCCTACAAGTTTACTGCCCGCAGGGCGCGCGTCACAGCGCCCGGTCCCTAAGAGTTCAGGACCTGGGGAGAGGATCCGTCCACACACTCTGGCGCTCCTCTTCTCGAGGGGGGTACACGGCTCAAGCTAACTCTGAATTTAATTAAAAAAAAAAAAAAAGCAAAGCGGTTGCGTCTTTGTTAAGTGTTCAATGGCTTGTTCTCGCGGTTAGCTAACGGAAAACAGCCTTTCAGGAACAAGGAGCTGTCCCTCGGGATCAGTAGAAGCACCTGCCCGACTGTTCGCCCGGAGTAGCGGAAGTCATCCTGGCGCTGTCCAGCGGGCTGCGGCTGAAATCCTGGGAATTAACGAGGGGCCACCCTCAACGTGTTTTTCCTGCAGCTTTGTTCTTGTATGTGAAGTTCTTGCTGTATTCTGTGGAATTGGAGGGGAGCTCAGTCGTGTGTGTGTGTGTGTGTGTGTGTGTGCGCGTGCCCATATATACATCCACTCTTACCCGCCTCCAAGCGGGAGGAGCCCGAGGCAAGAAGTTTGGAATCTGAGGATTTAAGGGCTGAGCTGGCAAGTCCCTAATGCTGAACTACAGAATTTAGGGGGAGAAAATGAGTGCCAAAGAATGAAGTTCATAAATGAAATCCTCTCGCTACTATTCTTCTGATTATCTACTTTTCTTACCTTACATGTGAAAAGTATTTCCTATAGTTGGCATATTATGTTTAAATTTATATTGTATTGCATTATAACTTGTATAATGTACACATTTCTTAATCGTCCTGCTTAATATAACCATCATTCAGAGCCCAGAATCTAACCACCATCTCCCAAAATAATCACTATTTGACTTGTTATTAGATTACTGGGTCTCTTATTGAGCATCGTATAAAGGGAATGATTCAGCATACACTCTTGTGTCTAGGTTCTTTCACTGGACACCATATCTGTGATCCACTCATTTTCTCAGGCTGCATTTTTATTACTATATACTACATCATTTTATAAATATACCACTATTTAGCTATTCTATATTGATTAACATTTGGATTCCTTATAATTTTAGCCAACTTGAATAATGTTTCCATGAACATTCTTTTTTTTTTTTTTTTTTTTTTGAAACAGAGTTTCGCTCTTGTTGCGGAGGCTGGAATGCAATGGTGCAGTCTCAGCTCACCGCAACCTCCACCTCCCGTGTTCAAATGATTCTCCTGCCTCAACCTTCTGAGAACATTCTTTTACAGGTGTTCAGGTACACATCTGAATAAATACCAGGTGTGGATTTGCCAGGTTGTAGTACTTGAGTATGTCCAGTTTTACCGGAAACTGACAATTTTTCAAAATGAATTACTGACATTCTTTTGGAACCTTGCTTGACAATATCTATTAAGGTTGAGTGTATGTATGCCTATGACTGAGTAATGTCACTCCTAGATATATATTCAATAAACATCTTATATGCTGTTTAAAATAGGTTGTCCTTAAGAACAAAATAGTTTCCCAAATCACCAACATCTGAGTCTAATGTAAACTGATCAGAAATAGTGGCTCAGTTCTGGAGCTAAAGAACATTCTTCATTAGGAAAAACATTCAGCTAGCTGTTATTAAAGCTTAAAATTCTATAATAACAACGTAACTAGCCAAGGACTACTTATGATGATCTAGCCATACTGATAAAATGTGTATATGTGCCATGTCATTCATAAATTAAGCAGCTTTTCCAGATATTGCCCACCAAGAGCAGTATCACATCATAATTGAATTAGAAAAGGTAAACTTTTGTCTTGTAATCAATTTTTAGTTTTATGTTTTCTAACTCAAATAAAAGTCTTTATTGTACTCTTATGGGATTTCACCACTTAAAATAATTCATTATAAAATTAAGATTAGTTAAATAGGATGTTTATATATTTGAATGTATGAATATTCTATTTATATTTATGAACATTATATACATAGAGAGAGAGAGGGAGAGAGAAAGAAAGGAGAGAAAGCAAGAAAATTAATATTACATATAGGTTGAGAAATGTCTCTAGGAATTTTATCTCCAAAGTTATTTGTTTTCTTTTTGACAAGCAATCTTACTATACAAAATAAATTACTAAAGCAATCTTCTAACTATGAGATGTCTAAAACTCAAACTGCAACTATGCCATTCTAACATATTTTATATAAATATATATTGAAATTTAAATTACTGTATGAATTTTTACATTCTCCACTGATTGTGTCTGTGTGTTCCTAATCATTTAGATGAGGAAAAATGTTTAGTCTAAAAGCTGGATTAATAAATATCCAATTATGAGGCATTGTAGAAGCAAAGCATCTGGATTGAATTTTCTCCATTTTAAGCAAATTCATATGTATTTACTTAAAGATTTGTGTTCATGGTAGTGAAGAATATAATGAATATTTTAATAATGATTTTATTGATACTTTGTTGAAATGTTATAAAGTTATTATAATGTATTATTTAGATTCATCACAAAATTATATATAGGAACAGAGTACTGTCTTATATTTATAGAATGCATACACATCAAAAGTAAACATCTACTGAAATCAAACACTATTTGTTTCTTTATATTTTGAGATAGGGTCTTGCTCTGTCACTCGGGCTGGAGTGTGGTGGCATGAGCCATATATATATGGCTCACTATAACCTCAGCCTCCTGCACTCAAGCAATTCTCCTGCCTCACCTTCCCCATGTAGCTTGGACTACAGGTGTGCCCTACCATGTCTGGATAACTTTTTTAATTTTTTGTAAGGATGTGGTCTCACTTTGTAGCCCAGGGTTGGTCTCAAATTCTTGGGCTCAAGCAATCCTCTTGCCTCACCCTCCCAAATTGCTATAATTATAGGCATGAGCCACTGCACCCAGCCATAAAAACCTTTTCATTGTATTCAATGTGTCATACACCACATTAGGTTCCTTAGACTCATATACTTAATGTCTGTCAATATTAGTGGATAAAAGTATTTGAGTCTTAATTTACCATGATTCAAAGAGACAAGATAAATTATCTAATCTCAAAGAGTCCTCATAAAACTGCATTTTGAAATTTATTGTATTTGGAATATGTGTTTCTTATGTCTCCTTGTTTCTAGAGAAAACAATTGTGTGAAAAAATGTGGTTTCTATAAGTATACACATTTAATCTTGAGGTATTTAATGTTTATTAATACACACTGTATATTTTATTGCCCTAATACAAGAACTGCTCAGAACCATACTGATGCTGTTTCAAATTCATTGACATGAGTATTATTGTTGTAAGTGTATATGAGGAATTTAAAATTTAAACCAATTTTGTAATCCTTACCTGCTTCAGTGTATCTATTCCTTAGTGCATTATGAAAAAATATAAAATATCATACTTATGGAGACATTTTACAGATTTTTCTTAAGATCATGACCAAGGCAAGTATACTCACTATTATCATTGTTATTTAACAGAATAGAGGTGATTCCAACTAATGCAATAACAACAGATATTGAAAGAAAAACCTAAAATTTGATAGAAAGGAGATACTAATACAAAGATACAACATTAAAATCAGAGTGGAACTGGCAAAAAAAACAGAAAAAAACATCAGTGGAAGAGAAGAGAAAGTTCAAAGGCAATTGCATCTAGATAAGGAAACAAAACTCAAATGTATGTTGCAACAAATGAACACAGGAAAATATAAATTGCTTACTAGATACTACTGGGAAAACTGTTCACAGACAAGAAGAATAAAATGGAGTCTCTATGTAATACTATATGTAGTATTGCAATTCTATTGCATTAAAGGTCACAGTATGAAAAAGTAATTTGGGGAAGATAATGGAAGAAAATCTTAAAGAATATACATGAGACCATGGGGGTAGGAAGTGATTCCTACTTCAAGTCAAGATGGAATAACAGAGAATACATCATAAAAATCAAAACCAGACAAAATATCTTAAACAGTAGTTGTTAGACATCGGCAACACAGAAGAGGCAGCACAAAACAGTGATTCCTAAGACAGGGTTAACAGATGAGATGAGCGCTACCATTGCTCTATCTTACTGACTAGAGAAAGAGTTTTCAGCCCATGAACAAGGATAAGGAATCCACACTGAGCCTGGTGGTCTCTCTTACTTGAAGAGATGGAATTGGAATCAGCAGAACAGAGAAAAGACAGTCATATAGAGAAAGAACTCTGGAGATTCAGAATTTTCCCTTGAGTTTTCAGCTAAATACATGTTTCTATCTGCATGTGGGAAAATTAACCAACTCTCAGAAAAATGCTTACCGAAAAGGGGTCAGTTGGTGATTTAAAGAAGTTATATTCCTACCAACCAGAGTATAACAACCTTGTAAAACACATTGTTTCAGAAGTGTATTGTCCTGTGGATAGGAAAAATTAACCACAGACCAAAGGCTTCTCTGATCTTGCCTTCAAGCTTAACAGCAAGGATTCAAATAGTAAAACTAGTTCTAAGAAACCTGGTGGCATCTTAGAACAAGCCTTAAGAATATTTAAAGTACGAATGCCCTGGTTTTATATCTGAGCTACATCCCAATAAATGTGTCATAAATTGAAAATATTCTAAGTAGAAAATGCATTTAATATCCTAACAAACCTACCATAGATAAAGTCAAAAAATCGTAAGTCAAATCGTTGTAAGTGCAGATGCTCCTCAACTTGGGATGGGGCTATGTCCTGATAAACCCATTGTTAAGCTCAAAATATTTTAATTGCACTATTTTAAGTTGGGGGTTGTCTATGATGTTTTAACTATGTAGAACCCACCAAGGTAAAAAAAAAAAAATCTGACTGGCATGCACTTGGAAATTACCAATCATGAAAATTAGCAGGTAACTACATCTAAAAATAAAAACAAAAATCAGTTAATTGAAACTAAACCAATAATGGCACAGATGACATATAAGTAGATAAGAGCATTAGAAATGTTAACAAGACTCTATTCCATGTGTTGAAGAAGGAAGTTGCATATTAAGGAGAGACATGAAAAATATAAAAAGACATGCATTAAATTTCTACAGAAGAAAAAAGTCATAAAAATAAACTTCATATAATTAACAGCAGAAAAAAACACTGCAGGAGAAAAGATAAGTGAACTTCTCAGCGTAGTAGTAGATAGTATCCAAAACAAAATATAGAGATAAAAAGACTCAGGAAAAAAATGAATAAAAAGTGTACTCTGGGAAACTTTAAGTGGCTTAATATAGCTATAGTTGGATCCCCGAAGGACAGAAAAACAAAGAACAGAAGAAAAAAGTATTTGAAGAAATAACAGCCCCCAACTTTTCATAGTTAATGAAAGCTAAACTCTTCATATCCAAGAGGATCAGCAAATCCCAGGCAGAAGAAACACAAAGAAAAATCTGCCAAGATGAGAAACTAGAAACTATTTCGCTAACATCAGGAACAAAGAAAGGATGTCTGCTCTCACCATTCCTT